ACACATAAAATTAAAGCGTAAACAAGTTAACTCCAGACTGCACCTCCTTAGACCCCTGTTAAAATCCAAATTATCCCTAACCAACAAATTGACAATTTATAAAGCGATAATCCGTCCGGTTTGGCTTTATGGTATTCAGCTATGGGGGTCGTCAAAACCGTCCAACACCAGAACTCTACAAGCTTTTCAATCAATATGCTTACGTCTAATAACTTCCTCTCCCTGGTACGTAACANAAAAAAAAAAAAAAAAAAAAAAAAAAAAACAATTAAATATATTAAATAATTAACTTAATGGTAAATCTTGTCAGGTGGCACTACTGAGGGTCTTCCTATTCTAATATTTGTAATGTTAAAGAAAAATTGTTATCACACTTACTTATTATTGTAAAAATAGATTGTAAATATATTCTTTTAATAAAAAAATTTAATTACTAAGTAATACTTAAGTATTTTTTCTCATATATATATATGTATATATTTTTTAATTGCTTTTTAAGCCCATTAAGGGCTATAGTAGCCTCACCAAAGAGATGTTTCTTAACAATTGATATGCCGGGACGGGTGCATAGTCTGTCGCCGAAGAGAGAGATGGCGATTCTGATTACCGAACTGATCTCTAGCTCGGCAAATGAAGGCGACCGTGACCGAGTTTCGAACTCAAAGAAGTGCGTGTCAAGCAATGTCGCGTTACCGACTTGGTCACACTATCCTTCTACTTGATAATTAAATAAATAAATAATAAAAATTTCTAAGAGTATATTTTAGTGGCAACTTTTGAAATTAAATGTAAATCTATTACTATTATGTTACTATTGAATAGAAAATAGTATAAATAAATTAATGGTATTAATAATTTTATTATTAATTTTTAAGGCATTAACCATTTGAAGATTTAAAAATAGTGAAAATGGTAGTAGTGTTTAGCTACGTTTTAATTTTAATTTATCGCACAGATAAGAATTATTCTATATTACTCGCGCCATTTGCCTTTAACTAAAAATTACAACCTAAAATCTACCCTTTGGAATCATATTTTTTTAAAATACACTTGATATCTATAGTTTATAACAATGGTTTATTAAAATAAATATAATTTTAATCTATACATTTTTATGAGATAATAATTATTTGAAAAATTGTGGGTAGTATGCTAAATGAATAATCCTGCATATTACCTATTTATAGGCTAGTTAAATTTGTACCTTTCCATTTAAAAAAAAATATTATCCCTATAACTTATATGGGACCAACTAAAAAAATATAGTGGATAAATAGAGTATTATATGTAATTGAAAAATAAAAAAAAATGCTCAAAATTATTATTATATTACGAGTAGTTTAGTATTTCCTGTGTATTATTCAGTCTAAAATAGTTATTAGGATACTTATTAGTTACTCATTATACAAGTTGCACAATTTTTATAAATGATTTTTTTTTATAAAAAAATTTTATTGATAAATTTCAATGTGGTATTACGCGTGAGGGGGTAGTGGATCAATCTGTCGCTTTAGCGCTTAGCGTTCAGCTGCATTGTATGCTGTTGGTTCCCGGATAGGTAACCATATGGTTACCTATAAACTTTAACAGTGACACAAACCTTGCCTCTATACTTAATTCTTCAGCCATAATGAGGTTGCGTCAGATTGATACAGGATGTAAAAAGCTGTCAAATTGTAAGTTAGAGACGATCCCAAATAATTAGAATAGAGTCTAAGATTATAACAAATTAATACATTTTAACCTTATTCTAAAAAAAATGTGTACAATTTGTTGAATTTAAAAGAAATATCATGTTTTTTAGTAACAGACTCTTTTTATGTTTAAACACGTGCAATAATTATTCGTAATGATAGGAATTATCAAAAAACTTTAATGCATAATAACTGCTATTTTTTCGTATAATTAAAACATATTATGTTCTCCCTGAATTAATAAGCAGCGTATTTTTTTGTTAAAAGTTTTTGAAACTTTACTCGTCATATTAAAGAAAATTTGCTTCTTTACGAAGCAAATAAATGTAGCATTTTTTATCTTAAAGGATATTTTTAAATTATTGTTACTAACCTTAAGGATAATTTAAGGACAGAAAGGGACTTGTATATAATATTAAGGGAATATTACATGATTTAAAATAATAAAAACAAATGTAGAACTTTCCAATAATAAAAACGTAACTTTTTTTTAACTCATTATATATTTTGTAGTTTTCATGTGTTTAGATAATGGTAGCTTGAAAAAATGAGATATTGTTCATAAATAATATTTACTTAATATATATAGTTATTATAAAAATAAATATGTAATCATTTTATTTTATTTTATCAAGAATTCAACATATTTATGAAAAATATAACAAGTAAAAATAGACCTAATTTTAATGATAATTGTTTGTAACATGTTATCGCATGAATTTATTAACAACACTATTATGAGTTGTATAAATGTTGTACGATACAATGAGTACTCAAATTTAATAAAATGTCTATATTGTGTGATCTTTTCAATAAAAAGAGTTTAAATATTCGTTTCATTAGATTTAACTACAAACAAAGCTAAGAAGAAATGTATTTTACAATGATGTTTTCTTTTAATTTTGTGATTCAAATCCAATATATTAATTAGTACGATTAAAATACGTTGAAAACTAATTAATTATATGGTGTTCTTTAAAATATAATTGTACTGATTTATAAATATTTTTACAATAACGGAAATTGATGAAATGATTTAAGCTTTAAAAGGATTACAAATTTAGCAACTTACACTTTTTATATTTATTTATTCTTATAGATTATTTTTTCGATGAACTAAATACGTTTACCGTTCCTTTTGATGAAATAATTCAGTCTCTTAGTGGCAGTGGCGTATTTTGAATGATTTCTCGGGTGGTGTCCAACTTTTAATGAACCTCACAAACGAAAATTATAGAAATGTTTACTGACGTAAAAAAAATTTTTCTAATTACTATTTTATGAATTGACAAANACCCACTCATTTACTTGTAGAATAAATATATTTTAAACATTATTTTTGGTTTTCTTTAGTTACACATTATTCTTAAATTATTAACTATTTAAAACTTTTTATGTTCATCCCTTATGCCTTGTAAGGGTGTCAACTTTGTCTTTTTGTCTTTTAAATGGGAACACATATTTTGAATATAATAAAATGTTTGGATTTTTAATTAAATAGTAAATGGCATTTGAATTTTTAATATAACTTTATTAGTTTATTAGATATAAACATTTAAAGTTTCAAATTTTTGAGTTAATATACATGTATAATACACATGATGATATGATTACAAATACAGGTAGCTAAATGGTTTATATGATATCAATGTCGCAGTCACGGATTGTTTATTATCAATTATGACTATCATAGATATACTTTCTGTATTGTCAGTTAGTGTATTTATAAACTCACAACAATGTGCCTTACTACCATTGATAATAACTGCCGTGTACCAGCTAATTTCTTTGAAGTTGTTTTAAACAAAGTAACTCATAACTAAATACTTTATTTATAATAAGTAAACAAATAATAAAATCTCCTTTCAGTATTGATGTTCGTAAATTGCTTGCTTTTGATGATGTTTCAGTGTCATTCCACTTCGAAATTATAAATAACGATTCAATTAGGTACACAAAAAGCTCAAGAAAATCATTGACAGCATAAAAACGTTCAACTTATTTAGTCGCACATAATTGTTTTAATGATTTTTTAGTTATACATTTTTGACTTTCTTCGATTTGACTTTTCAACACATCTTTTCGCTTTGGGTATATGAAAAAATCTCTAACTTTAGATGTTGTTCCTAATCAATTTCGTGTTTCTTGTATAGAAGATTAATAAGAAATAGCAAGGTTCAAACATGAACAGCACAATGAACAAACGTCGCAAGCGGATAACTTTGGTGAATAAGAGATTGAGCTCCGTTACATTGACCAGACATAGAAGCACATCCATCGTAACACTGTCCTCTAAGGTATTTTGTTTCTACACCAAATGAATGTAAACTTTGAATAATAATATATAAACCTTTTCCAGTAGTATCTGTTGTAGGCACAAACTGAAGAATTCTTCCTTGATAATTATATTTTCAACATCTAAATATCGAACACACAAAGTTACTTGTTCGCTTCCACCAATGTCGGCCGTTTCATCAGCAAGTATTTTGAAACATCTTTGGGCATTTATGTTTGTTACGATTTTATTTAAAATAATTTTATTACAGGATTCAATTATTTCATTTTGAAGTGTTTCACTTGTATATTTTATTGTTTCTTCAGCTTCCAAAAATGATTTTAAACGGTCATCTCCTTGGGCTCTGTATCTTAATATTTCTCTAAAATTTCCTTGATTTTCTTGGATAATTTGTCATTTTCTTGATATATATTGAAGTTACAAAGATAGCCGTTATTGTCAAAAAAAAAAATAAAAAATAATAATAATAACATTAAAAATGCAAATAATAATTAAACCTATAAGGTAGTTAAACCCTAAAGTTATTTTCGATTTGTTAAAGTCGTTAAAATTAATTCAAATCTCCTGTTATTTTCTTTTATCAGAATTATTATGTCATTAATTCAATTATTAATTAAATTGTTAAACTATATTATATATTCAACTTAATAAATTTTTATGTTGATTATAATCGCATGGCATGATGTTTTTTGTTAATAACTAAATGGAAATAGCAATTTCACATGGGCAAAATTTTTAATAGTTGCAAGAGAATAAATCCAAACGTTGATATTTTATTTCATACAGATTAAATTTTATATGCATAAATATTCTGTTAACCGATATCAAATTTATTCCACTTGAACTTTCATAAAAAAATCTCTATCATTTGTAAACTAATGTAATAAATAAACAAACAAATACAAAAGGTTTTTCTTCAAAATATCTTTAAAATATATATATATATATATTTTTTTTTTTTTTGATAATTCTCTGTATTATTCTTAAAATATTGTATTCTTTGACCAATAATACAATTAAAATAAATAAGTATTGTTTATACAAAATTTATTTATAATTGGCCTATACATTTTTTTAATGAATTTTTACAATTAAGTTTCCTTGACAATTAGATGTAAATGTTGATTTTATCGACATTTCAGTTCACTTCGTTTTTTCCCGTGAAAAATAAACTATCGTCTTGTGTAATTATTAAGATTTATTTAATTAGTTATTGATATGGCAAGTGAAAAAAATATTTTTGGTCAAACAAATGAATCAAACTTACATAAGGTCATACGCAGAGTTGAAGAAATATGGAGTCGTCGTTTCATGCATTCCAATTGTGTTTTAAATAATACAAATAAAGGACAAATATCAAAAAATTCAACTAAAGACGGAAGAATTATCTGTAAACACTATTAAGATTAATAATTAAACTAACTATTTCGAATAGAGAAAAAGTTTTTTAATATAAAATATAAGAAAAATTAATAATAAGTTCTCTTATTCATATATAACAATAATTCAGTCGCTTTACTTTAATTTAACTATTTTAATATTAAAAACCTTTTTCGAAATTGATTATTTAATTAATAATTATTAAAATTATATTCAATTTGCAGCAATTATTAATAAAAATATTTATCCTATAAAAAATTCCATTAATCCAAAAAAATGCACGTATCGAAAAACGAATAAAAATGATAAAATTATTCCAGAAAAATTGGTAACTATAATTATATTAATATATTTATTCGATTTAGCTATGTTATTGGGGTTTGTCTGATTCAAAAATATAAAATAAACTATCAACCCCCTTAATATAAATGCGGTAACATAATGTTTAATATTATTCTGCTATTTTTTCTATTAGATTTTTATGGGAAATTCAATTTTTATCGAAGATAATAATATAATATTAAGTATAGTTTATTTGTTTATTTAAATATCTCTTTGGTTACCTAGAATATGATGCAGCAAAGAGAATTCGGAACACTTTTTCAGAATGAAAAATCTGAAAAATATAAAAATGAAATTTTAAATTCAACAGAAAAAAAAAATATAGCAATTTCAAAAGACAATCCGCTATTAATATCAGCTGATTTGTTAGAAAAGGTATATTTTATTATGCTTTATTTCAATAAAAAGATTTTAGGGTATACCCTAAACCATTTTTTGGACTTAAAGCAGATTTCTTAAATAAATTTATCATATAATTAAATATATTTTTATGATCCGTTAAGAGTTTTCATAAGAAAAATTTGGAATGCAAAAAATCCGAAATAAAAAAACGACTATTTGAGATATCTTCTAATACTACTGCTTGACCAAATTTAAAAAGAAATTCGTNATATCTTCTAATACTACTGCTCGACCAAATTTAAAAAGAAATTCATCCGAAGAAGATGAAAAAGTCATAAAAAGTATACAACTTTTAAAATATAATTCATTTTTAAAAAATATGAAGTTTTGATTTTTGAAACAAATATGTAATATTTTTAATCATAAATTATTTTAGAGTCGAAAGTTAGTTCTAATCCTTTGACCTTAAATACGCCGAATGACGTAAATTTACTTGCTCTGTCCACTATTGAAGTAATAAAAGTACCAGAGAAAGAAAAAGGTAATTAGTTATTTAATCTATTTATTTTATGTAAAATTAAATAAAAAAAGATTATTTATTAAACATAATTAATTATAATAATACGAGTTAAATTAGTATAACTTCTGCAGAGGCGTGTCATTAAGGGGGTCCATGGACGTTTTAAACAAAAGTAATTATACGTGTTTAATGTCATATTCCAAAACCTTAAATAAACCTAAATAATGGTAAACTGTTCAACAAAGTCTTTTATTAATTTTATGAATAATGTTAATTTATACATCATGGTATACTTCAGACACAATTAATGAGTACATTAAAATGATAGTAACACGGTCAGAAGGTGAAGTTTATGCAGTTGTCACTGATTTTATTGTAGCGTATCTTCGAGGAGGTTATCCAGATGTAAGAAGATGGATAAAAAAAGATATTCACACAATAAAATTACTTTTTGTGCCCATGAATGTATATGAGAGTCATTGGATATTGACAGTGGTTAATATACCTGAAAAGACTGTGACATCATATGATAGTCTTAAGTCGTATAAGGGTCCTTATCCAATGGTATTAAAAAATTTCTTAATTGAATGGGAGATGGACAAAAAAGGAAAAGCTTCTACATGGACATTACAAATAGGCGAGACATCTCGCCAAACCAATGGACATGATTGTGGGCCATTTACTGTTGAGCTGGCAGAAAAAATGTCTCGAGGAGATACAACACCAATAAATGCAAATTTTATGCCTTTTATAAGATTAAGACACAAAAATGAAATTATTGCTGGCGAGCTATTCAATTAATATTTTTATGAATGAAATTTTATTTTTGTATTTTATATCAATTTTCTTAATATTCACTATAAATTGAAATTTTTATTTGTATACCACCAAACATTTTTTTACTTTTTCTATGTTTAATTGTTGTTTTGTTATTTTATTTTAATCTTATTTTTCTTTGTAACATTTCATTTAAGAAATTCAAATTTAATATAAATTTATCTTAACTTAATAATTTAAACATTAATAATTTAATGTTCTTGTTATGTGAATATACAAATATTATAATATACAGTTATGGATACAATTAAGTTAAAAAGTCAGCCAATTATAAATTTTTAAATTAACAAGCGTATCTACTACCTTAACAACTTAATTTTAATTTTACTAAATGACGATTCATAAAGAATTTCATAACTTTTGTTTATTTTTTAAATACTATTTTAAGTATAAAAAATTCTTTTCTGTATTTTTTATGAATGCGGTATATTGAATAGGGGTAACTAAACTTATTTGTTTATAATTCTCTAAACTGATAAACTATAAAATAAATTTAAGAATGAACTACAAGTTCAGAATATTTCCGTTGTTATTATATTTTTGCTACGGGTATTTTTGTTATCTAAATGACCCAATGAAATCCAAATAATTTCTAGAAATCTCTAATAAAATGTAGATAAATACGTGTCGTCGAATCCTATCAAATTATCTTCAATTTTGTTATTTATTTAAAATACCATTTATTTTATAGTAAATAAATATAGTATATTATAAAAAAAGTTAATACCAATATATTAGGCATTTTTTTTAAGTCGGGGGGTGTCCAAACATGGAGGACACCCCCCCAAAATACGCCACTACTTAGTGGGAAAATGCTAATTATAAATTGAATAAAATATTAAGCTAGAATAAATAATAAACGTATTAATAATTTTTATTATATAAAAAAAATAGTTTTATGTTTTTTACATTATGAAGTAAATGTATGATAAAATCATGTAATTATCGAAATACCTTGGCCCTTAATATTTTATATAATCTTTACTTCATTAGCTGTTGTTTTCTTGAGCATAATTGCAGGCAGACTTTATTTGACTTATATAGATTTATTTAAATTGAAGTCAATGCCGTTTAATAGGATGGAGATTAGGGGAATATATAACCTCTAATTGAAATACCATTTTTCGATATTTTTGTACAATTTTCTCGAAAATTATAACATTTTGAAATATTTATGTATAAATATGTTAAAATAACGATCGATTTGATGCAAATTTGTATGTAGTGTTCAATTTTTTAAAGGAATTGTTAGATTATTTCAAAAACGACACCAAATCTTATTTCTTTAATTATATCCTGGATACAAGTTTTATGATTTATAAATTTATATCAAGATGGGATATAATACTTATTTGAATAATTATATTTTAGCATGAAATTGATGTTCAATAATTTATTGTTGTAGTTTTTTACGAAACAAAAGGAAAAGATGGTTAGATTATTGTGATCGTTATTAAATTATAACTTCAATTATGATATTGAAATTTTAATTTTGGAAACCATTGGTAATGAGAATATCTTATCTATTCTGTGGTGAATATATAAATTCATATAACTTTACGTTTCTTGGTACCATAATTATTGCAATTAAATTACGCATCTTTTTTGTTATTACAGAAGCTTATGATAACACAATCAGAATTGGTAACTAGGAATAATCACAGATATATTTATCATATACCTGTGGGAATAATTGACAAAAATATTTGGTGATAGTGAATATAATGATATTTTATATTTTATATAATATATAAAACATAATTAATAAATAATATATGGACTCTTTTTGGATCGTCGGAAAACAGGACACAGTGGGTGAATTATATTTCTACTAGTGTTGAATTAGTCTAAGTTAGGGGTCCATTTGTATACAGTAATCATGCTTAATAATGTCCGAGTTTATAGTTTGAGATAAGTAAAATTTGATCACGTAACTTAAAAATTATAAAAAGCTTTTTTTTAATATAACGCTTATAAAGCAAACCGGTAACCAGGATACATTTAATCTTGAACTTTGACTTTCTTTAAATTTGATTTTTTTTTTATATTTGATATAGAATTGAAAAAAATGGTCATTGAGCAATAATTATAAAAAATGAATAGATTTTATGAGTGAGACTATAATCTAAAACAACTTGGTCGTATGTTACACAGTTTATAGGCTGAGAGAAATAAAACTTGCTCTCCTAAGCCAAATATTTGCTATTATACCTACTACAAGCAGCGTACTGAAAAACGCCGTTTAAGTCGTAAATATTGAAAACATAATCTTGTTTTTGAGCTATTTTTCTTCTTTCTTTTGTTCAAAACCAACCTAATGTCACATATAAATATGTATTGAACTCATTGCTCGGGACAATGTCTCACTAGAAACTTTTTAGTTACTCTGACTAAAGTATCAAGTCACTATGAGCCTTATTACTTTCTGCTTGTTTTATATTTATGTACAACTTAAGGTACGTGAACGAAAACGTACATTTTTTGACAAAAATATTTTTTTAAACATTTGTTTTTATTTTTTGGCAATGATAGTAACTGGAGTGAAAAAAAACAAACTTTCAACTTACGGGTGTTATTGAGAACCTAACCTATTTGAATAATATGGATAGATTTTGAAAACTTTGGATTCTTTAATGCGCATATGAATAAAAAACCAAGAAAAACTTTTATTGAAAGTTAAGTGTGTCGCACATAAATTAATTGAAACGATGGATGGCAGCAACAAGAAGTTTCAATTAGATGAAGGCTTGGTAAAGCCGATATCCGATGTTTTGGAATACAATGTTAATAATTTATTTTTGTTTTCCAAATCCAACATATAGAAAATGCTAATTTAATAATCCCGCAGTGAAATATTTAACTAATAAACAATTATAATGGAAAAGCTCTAAGAGCCAATTTCCTTTTTTTTAATTTATATACTTATTCTTTTTATTTTGAATTAACTTTAATGACATACTAATGTCTAAACGAAATTCTTGTACAAATACATGTGCCGAGTATCGCATTAATGATAAACGCTGTAAATAATTTCGCTAGAATAGTAAAAATTAATGGGTTGTATTGTAAATAACATTACTATATATTTCTACACATTTTAATTAAACACATGACAAAAACTCATAATTTTAGATATATATATATACACATTAATAAGAATATTAGCTGCTGAATAAACATATTACTGTTACACACACGTAAATCTATAACAGAAATGTTATCATTTATCATTTAAAATTGAAAAATGTTTAAACTAATACAGGCAATACTGTTGACTAATTCTATTGTACGTTTTACAATTCAAACATTTAGGAAGGGTCAACATATTTGTATACAAATGGTGTTCCAATTAGATAATAAAATTTGTTATTAAAAAAAATGATTACTTAGTTAAAAAATTCACTGATTATTGTTAGTTCAAAATTATTTTCTTTTTAAATTTTTGGATAATACTTTTTGTTATAGATTATTTAAATTGTATTTAAAACATCCATTTAACACTAAAAAATATATAACTCAAAAAGCCACATAAAGTTACTAAAATATCGCGGATACGTGTTTCGGGATCAATGTTATCATTATCAACACTAAAGACATACTCAACATTTTCTGGCCTGTTGAGTTAAATATTTTTAATATTATTGAAATAATTTTAAATTATATACTTATATAATGTTACAACATTTAATTTTATTTGATTATAATTTTACAAATTATTAAAATAATAACCTATACTATTCTAACTTTAATTTCAATAATATATTCTCAAATATTATATAAATTAAGTCAATAATGTTTGTTAACGCCGTTTTAATGAATGCTGTTTAAATTTTCCATGGTATGAAAAGAGAAAAAATAAAAAGCATTTGTGCTTTAGGCCATAAAAGAACAAATACTCGTATATTAAAACTTTACATCAAAGTTAAGCTCTTTATGAGATGCGTAAAATAAAAGCGTCATCTGAATGTATAAAATGTTATATTATTAATGAAGATAATTTGTTTTACGTTTTGATTAAAGATATAACTATACATATATGAATGATAATTGCAAAATATAGTACAATAAATTATAATTAAAAATAATAATATTAAATTTTATGAAAATTTTTAAATTGAAAAGATAGAGTTTTCGTAAAAATATTTGTATTTAGATTGTCTGAATTAGATGCATCAATTGTAACACATTTGATGCACAGGATAAATAAAAAATAATTATAGAAACTAATTTTTTTCAGATTGATTTTGCGCAATAATTGAAACTTGAAGTATTCAATAATGTTAACCTGCCCTTTCTGTAACAAATTAGTTAGTTGTATAAAAAAGGCTAATACAATAATAATTATAGCAAAATTATATTTACAGGACGATACTACCTAATGTGTCAACCAAAATTGTCTTAAAAATAAATAGTCAATTTTGAAACTTTTATTTTATTTAAGGAACAAAAGTTTATTAAAAAACGTCAAGGTTTAGTCGTTTTTGTGACAACTGTTGTAGTATAAAAACTTAAAGTTTTTGGCGTCTTTATAGAAGATATTTTATCATTTTGATTTATCTTAAATCAAATATACTCGTTTTTAGAAAAAGATAAATTGATTGTTGACGGCAAGCTTCGAGAAAGTCTTATAATGCAAGCGTATAAAAGAAGCGTTCATCAAAACCTGACACAGTAATGAAAACCAACACTTCCTTAATGAATAATTAATTGCTTTTGTCGACTGCTGCTAATTTACGACTGAAGCATTCACTCTTGTACACTGCCTCTTAATAACGTTAATAGTTTTATATTTTACAGCTGCTTTTATAACTAACATAAGATATAATGGTTAAAAACTTACAATCAAAATAACTTTATAAAGAAAAATCATTTTTAGAAGTGATTAGAAAGCGGGTTTTCATGCATTTATAAATTTTGTTCGATCCATTTCAAAAGGACTGAACTTGTGCACATTTTTTGTATAATGTATAGTAGAAAATAAATAATTTTTTGTTTTTAGGGAGAATAAACCTACTTAATCACCCAATGTTATAATTCTAGTTAGATTACATTACTAAGTTTTCAAGCCTGTTAATGTAAACGTGTAATCTCTAATAATATGATTATGATGTGAAATAATTAAATAAAATTTATAAATACTTATAAATCCGCTCTCTATAAATTAAGTTATATATCATAAAGATTTTTTTTTTTTGTCTGTTACCACTTTTTCTCAGCTCTCACCGAACCGATTACATTCAACGATACGTCAAAAGATCACAAATCGTATCTAGTCGAAGACATTACACTCAAAAAATGAGAATATTTCCCTCGTTCTCCGTAAATAGGGAAAATCTAAAAATAATTACAAATTTTAAAATCGCTAATTATCGACATTTTTTCAATTTTTTTTACTTAAAACTGCCTTAACTATTTTAAAAATAACCAAATCAATAACATTTTTTCTTTATAGATGCATGATGTCATTATCTATTATTTGACATATTTTTTATAAATCTGACTCTTTACCTGCCAACAGAAGGGGATTTAACTTTTTTACAAAAAATTAACTTTTTCAACTTAATTTTTGAAAGTGTACCGGAAATACTAACACTTTTATATATATCATAAATTAAAGCTTATGTAATATACTTTATTATGAAAAAACAAATTTGGACATTGTTTTCGTTCTGAACACGGACATTAATGTTAATAGAAGTATAAGATATTTGTATAAAAAATTATTTTTATATTTCTAATTTTATAATGATATAATTTTTTGAAAAATATATGGATCATTACAATTTTTTTATGATAAATACTATTTATAAACCTCTTACATTCGACATACTTTTTTTCTTAAATAAAACCATTTCCCTTTATATATTTACATATTATAAATATATTACACTTACAAAACATATAACATGTAAACAGGATATAAATAAGGAAATAGGAGATCATGTAGCTTTTGGAATAATCCAACAATTTTTTAAAATTAAACACAATTTACAGATTTGTATCGAAGTGATTTTTATGATAGTGATTTAAATCACTGTCAGATATCATTATACTTGACGATTTTTGTGAAAAATTACAATATTAAATTATTAAATATCAATTTCATACTATATTTAACTGTTATATTAAATAGTTTTTCATATATTACACTTATAAATCATAAAACTTGTAATCAGGATATAAATAAGGAAATATTTATATTTATAAAACAGGAGATTTTGGATTAATTCATCAATTTTTTAAAATTATACATTATCTACAGATTTGTATCGAAGTGATTTTTATGATAGTGATTTAAATCACTGTCAGATATCATTATACTTGACCCGACTATGTCACGTCATCACTATGCCGCAACTCCCCTTTACTGGGGTTTTTTTATTATGCTTTTTCTGTGTTAAATGATTGTATTTCGATATTTAAGCTCATAAACTATTATCTATTTTATACAAAAGTTGCAAACTCTTATATTTTCATGGATTGCCGTGTATTATTTAAAATATTTTTAGAAATATCCATGTCTTCAGTATTGTTTTGAAGTTTTGATCTAGTTTTAGCCATAGACAAGTATACTGAACTGTCGGTTTAGCTTGTTTTCTTATTGCTAATCGATTGACAACCAATAATAAATCATATAACTTGTAATCAGGATATAAATAAACAAATAAGAGATCATGTAGCTTTTGGAATAATCTACCAATTCTTTAAAATTA